TTCTGTGTGGGTTCTTTGCATCACTTTCGCATGCTAGGTCGCCTTAAGCTGTGCAGGATTGACTCCTTTCTCACGGGAACCATTCAAAAAATTTTACAAATTTTGTTTGTTTGAGAAACATCGCAGTTACTCCGTTATCGGGCTGTAGCACTGTCCTTGAAGCGGCACATCCCTGGCTCAGGGGTGGCTACTGTACAGGCTAACTTTTAATAAATAGCAGCACGCACCAGAACAACCGGTACAATCATGCGTTTTGTGCAATTCCGTCCACCGAACGGTTGCCTGTTAATGAGTTTCACTGCTTTGCACTTTGTTCTGTGCAAAAATAGTTGAAATATTAAAAAATAGTTAATTTTACGCATCGGGACGTGAAAGCTGGATTTGAGACATCGAAGGGTGAATATCCTTCCGAAATTTCACCTAATTTCCTGACTTTCGAATGATCTTTGAGATAAAACTTCCACATGGTCGTACGTAAGACCTCGGCATACTTGGGAACAGAATTCGAGTTTGTGAAAACCCTGCTTAGGCAAAAAACATTGTTTTGAAACTTTCAGCTTTCTAACTCTTCTGTCTTTGGTTTTTCTCGGCAAAACTTACACGAAGGTTTTGAAGATTTGTGGAGCTGTAGATGGGTAAGGGAAGCTACGCTGAAATTTCAGCTTTCTAGCTTTTGCAGTTCACGAGATAATCTTCCTACCAAAGCTTCCGCGGGGCTTTATGTGGTACCCAGGGGTGTGTGAAGGCTGAATCCAAATTTGCAAAGGTCGTACGTTGATTGGGGACATCGCCGTGAGATTTCGGATTCCCAATGTTCGTGGCTCCCGAAATAATTTTCCCCACTCAAACTTTCACAGGGCCGTAAGTAATACCTGAACGCGCAGTAAGGCTAAATTTAAGCTCATGAGATTGTATGTAGGCAAGGCACTCTACCTCAAAATTTCGGCTTCTTGACTTCTATCCCGGAAGTAACTTTCCCGCTAAAATTTTCACGGAGCCGCAGCTGATACTCGGAAGCGCGGGAAGCTGAATTTTAGTTTGCAAAGTCCACATGGACAGTAAGTCATTGTCCAAAAATTCCAGTTTCCTAGATTTCGTGGTTCCCGTGGTAATAATTTTGCCCACCAGGACTTTTACGCAGCCGTACGTGTTACCCGCGGGTAAGGGAAAGCTAAATTTAAATTCTCTGAATAGCACGTGAGCAGAGGACATGCTCACAGAATTTTAGCCTGTTAGCTTCTGTGGTCCTCGTAATAATTTTATTAGCCAAAATTTTCATGGGACCGCACATGTTACCTGTGGGTACGGAGAGGCTGAATTTAAATTTACGGGGTCACACGTGAAGGGAGAACATTCCCCTAAATTATCAGCTTCCCAGCTGTTGTGGTTCTCGGGTTGAAAATTGGGGACAAGTTGCTGCACACACACATACACACAAACACACGTAGACAACCCGTAACAATATTCGCCTCGTGCAGCTATTGCACAGCACAAAACGCATAATAAAGTGGCAGCTTCTCGAAAATAGCGCTATGTAAAAGCTTGGCAGATTACTCACGATCTGAGCCACAGATGCAAGTGGCCAGTTCTTCGCATTTGTCCTAAGTACGAGCATTGGCAGGCGTTTGAGTTCCGTATCTGTTTGAGGTCGGGTTCTTCCTTTTTTTATGCGTTTTTGCATATATGCAAATTGCAAAAACGCATGTTGGCAAGAGGCTGTGTGTGTATGTGCGTGTGTGTCTGTGCGTCTGTGTGTTTGCATTTTTTGTCACCCAC